CCGCAGGAGAATACCATGTCATCCGAGCGATATGCGCCACGGGTGTCGACTTTTATTCTTTTCTAAGAGCCCTGCCCGTACGTTGAATTCCCCCCCCCCCCCCCTCCTCTAAATGTTGACTTGGCCCTCCTCCCCAGAATGTTTTTGGCTGGAATGTTACCAAAGTGTAGGAAAAGTTTGCCATCACATAAAGACCATCTTCTTTGATACTTGGTCGTAGTGGTGTCACCATGGAGAGTGCACACTGGTAACTTGACCCGGCAGCCTAAAAATTATGTCCTCAAATGAGGAGTAATTCTAGGCACCGACGGTCAGCCATTCTCTATTTGATTTTTTTCGTCAAACGTAAGACCCGAGGTTTTTTCCCACAGCCTTAACATGATACTGACGCCAGTCATCCACCGGTCTCGAGGAGACTCTCTTATGCCGAACGACTTTTGTGTGCCATGCATAGTGAGCTGCGGTCCGGGCATGGGTTCTCTTGAAGTTGAGAACCAACTCATGAGAAAACAAAATCGGGCACGAGAGTGTTTTTTGAGGGGAGGGGAAGCATTCTTAGTTCAGATTGTAGGTCCAGTTCAGCCACAAAATGAAAAACAGCACAGATAAAAAACAAAACGAAAAATTGTCGGGACGAATGCTCAACCTGATAACGTGTTACACGAAATGTATTGCTGCCTCTCCGAGCTCACCATGCTACTATTGAAATGAATGTCCAAGTGATCCCGTTTGCATCGGGCACTTATGCAAATATAACGGAAGGGCTTTTCAAACGTGCCATGCGACGACACTGCTGGCACATGCATGCCATGCGACGACATGCGACGGCACATTTGCCATGTGTCGTCGTGGGCACATTTGTCATGCCATGTGACGGCACTGTTGGCCGTTGACCGCCTCGCAACCAAGCTAACAAACCAAGCCAGCGGCCAAATGGCCCTCTTTGGCGAGCCATATCCGAGCACTCATTCTGGAAGGCGAAGCCGCCACTACACATTGCGCCACATCACGAATGTGGTCAGCGTAACTTCAGCGCTCCACCAAAGCTGCGCTTCCACCACGTTGATAGGTGTGAGCGCGGCAATGCACATTTTTTTGCGAGCCTTTTACGCATTGCATACACTGCATGCGATGCATCATATTTACGCACTGCATGCAGCCGCATTGCATTGCATACATTGCAGGCTTGTAGGAAGACAATGTCTGCAAACTACCTCTTTACTTACTCTTCATGTCAAAAGATATAATTTGTGACCTTGACAGCGGTCACGCATAACTGAACTCGGAAAAATACATGACACCGTTAACTGGAGCAGAGGTATTGTTTCAACCTCCCTTTCTTTTCGGGTCAATGCCGCGGGTAAACGTCGGGCTTCATGTGAAATTCTGTGGCTGATGTGTTTTAAAATATTTAGCTCCGTTCTTTTACCATCACAGGGAATTCAACTATTCCACATGAGTTCAAACTTTCAGACTGCAAGGGAGTAGTGCTTCGTCGGGTTGAGCAGAGAATTATATAATCGAATAATTCACAATCTTAAGCATTTAAGTCAAGCTTATTTTTTAAGCTAGTCATGTATCACTTTGCTATGCTGATGAGCAAATAATCCATATGATATTAAAATCACTTACATGATACGACATACATCCATAAAACAAAAATGCACGTGCACCTCTGGCGTACAACAACAGTGTAATGGGAACAATGCATATGGCCAGGGGTTTGAGAAAATCGCGACCGGCCGGGGGGGGGGGGGAGTTCACTTCCCACTGGGATTCCCAAATTCCAGACGCCGCATGAAAAAAAACAATGATACCGCTTTAAAGGTCTGGCAGATCATTCAGAGTGCACACAAGTTTTTTACCTTAGGTGAAATCTGAGATCACAAGAGGTCACATGTCGAAACTGGTCGTTCCGATAGATGCAGCTAAATCACATGTCAAGACAGATGTTGAGGGCACGGAATACGCGTTAAGAGGTTGGGGAGCCTATTCCAAATATTTGTCTTCCCCCACACGGGTTAGGTTAGACCAGGTGACCGTTCAAAATTAATTTACCAGTAGTATACAGGAACGAAACTTTTCCTCACGCTGTGCTCGTGACGAAGTTTATTCTATTAGGTGCAGTTTTGGAAGAAAGGATGCCAGCCCCAAACAAACCACTTTAGGCTGACCTAAAGGTCATCTGAGGTAACGATAGGACATATTTATACACCATTCAAATGAGAAAAAGCGGTACCCTTGTCTATGTGAGCAGTGCAATGCGTCTATGTCTTTAGGAATGGTGAACTGTACATGTACGGACACTCAAGATCGCATAGTTGTTGTTTACATTATTTACAGTCCCTTCGACGCATGACAATGTAGTTGTACCAAAATGAAAACAGGTACGTTGGTACGTGAACTTGCGCGCCATCAGCTTCACAAACACGATATAGAGCTGGTTACACACGCCGCACCCCTTCATCTTCATCCAACCGTCTTATTTACGCTGCTGGCAACATAGGTCATTGACCTTTGATGACTCCAAATGACTTTTCTATGTCCTTACGTGACATGATGTGGCATAATTATGCATTAGAATGGTATCACAGCATATTTTCAGTGGAGTACTTGAGTTTTGCGTCCAGATATTACATCATGTAACTGCCCATTGTGAGTTTTTCAACAATAACGTATTTTGCAGAAGGCACATTTATAGATAGGTTACGACCTGAACCAAGGTCATGTGGTCTGTGATTATATTATAGATGGCGTGTGAGTTAGTACTCTTTTCTTCATATGCAAACACCAAAACTATACACAAAGCCGTATAAATTCTCATTATTTACAAAAAACGGTAAAAATTGACTCGACTTCAGGTCACAAACCTCTTCTTTCCAGAAAAATCTGAAAAATACAGAATATAGGTCCAATCATGTTCTATTAGTATTGCATGTTTGAGCAATAGGAAATGACCCACAAAAAGTTGTGTGAGGTCATTTTTGTAAGTTTGACCTCTTTGACCTAACTTAGGCCACTGATCTTGGAGGATCAAAAGCTAAAATTTATACAAAAGATGTCAAATTGGTAGTTGAACAGCCAGTACAAATTTCGTGTGGCTGCAAGCGTTTGTCTTTTGCTTGTGCTAAAAAACCGGAGGGGAAGTCGGTCCCCCGGTCAGACGTGTGTTGATAGCGCATGTATTTTCTACATGATGGCTACTGCAAACTCAGCGGCAAAGCCGTTTTTACAGCGTGTCTTTATATGTGTAAATGAAGCGTTTTGTTTTTACCCTCAATCGCACAAAAGTGTGATGTGATTGTTTAATGAAGGAGTGAATGAGTGTGAATGTGAATTGCCAAGGTGAATTATTAAACTGATGAGTTGTTGAGCATAATTGAGCTTTGTTGAGGATTGTTGATTGTGAGCACGCTGTTGATTACCATTGGTCATGCGATGATGTATCTGGATTTTTTGAAAATGTGGTACAACTTCAAACTCAGGCCAAAACGCACACGCCGTTCGCGTGTCACGCAAAAATCAGACCTTAAATAAATTGCTTTACACGGGGGCTATATCCTAAATCCCAGAAAAACAAGTTGGAGTAGGTCGCGTAATTTATCCGAATCGCTTGGCACCCAACCCCTAATTGGATCCGCCTATGTAGGAGGATGTTAACCGCCCCATAGAAACGTAACATATATGTCTCTCGTATAGAGCAGTGCACCTACCAACATTAGCACATCGTCCCCGGTCGTAACGAAATGTTGTGTTTGTCTTCAACGCCAGATAATAATCGTACCAGCTGAGCGGATAAACAAACCAAAAGCTTTATACGCCTAGAGCCATGAGGCACGCAGAGGTTTGAGGGGTCAAACTGAAATGTTCCGAAGTGCGGCCATGACCTGAATCCTTTGTGACTAATCCTGTTCCAGTCCCCTACAGCCCAAAATACGTGCCGCCGTCCATGACCGACAAAGAAGAGTGCCTTCGACGCCCTAAGGCGGGCTCTGCAGGCCGCCTTTACTTTCCGATCAGAACGGGCACGTACCTCCAGTACTCCCCCCCCCCCCTTCTCTCGATGCGCCTCTGCATGTCTACTATGCTGCTAGAACGAATGCTTTTTTGAAACATGGACAAGTGTGTAATATAAATTTCTTGTCTTCGAAATAAAGTGGGTTAAATCCATTGCGAAAAAATAGGAGAAAGGTAAGCTGTCGGACCGTCCTGCTCGGCCCCGCACTCCTCGGCTCCAATATTGGCACTCTTGTGACGTACGATGTACGACAGGTACTGGTATGGCCCGTGAGAACAAGCGAATGCGCTGTCCCGCATTCCTGGCAATCACGTCCAAGCGTGAGAAACTCGGGGTGGGCACTGGTCGCCATTTGCTGACTGGAAGGTCGGGCCACGCCGCTCAGCTCCACGCTGACCAATGACACACCTCTGAAAGACACGAACAAGGTCGAGGCAAAAGCAACGGCAACGGGGCAGAGCGACTCGAACAGAAACAAATTATCATAAGACAGACATGAGGGCGGACACTTGGGAGGAGAACCTGGCAAATCAGGTGTGACAGCGGCCCCCCCTCCCCGTGTTCCATCAAACTTGACATCTTTTAAGAGGACTAAAGCTGTTCGTGCTAGCAGCTTTGTGTCACTGATTTTTCAGCTCCTTCCGCAGTGCTGGGCGCGAGCTCGCTGCCCCTCTCTTCTGCCCCCTGTCCTACGCTGCGGCAATATGCATGGCCGGCTGGTCTAGGAATGGATTTTGAGACATTTTTCCTTTGTACTAATCATGCTCGTTACCAGCAGACGTATGAGCATTTGTACCGAAAACGATCAAGAGTACTACCGTTGCGATATAGAAACGAACCGAGCATGTGCCCGGTGTCAACAAATCTGGTCAGGAGCATGGACGTCATGCCACGCGGACCCGAGGTACGCCTGTCATGGCTGGCAGCTGTCATGGCTGGCAGCTGCCATGGCTGGACACTAACAGGAAGCTGTCCCTTGCAGAAGCGGTACGAGCCGAAGGGGTTCATCGCCGAGCTGACGGCGGCCGAGAGCCGGCGCGAGCCCCGCATCTCAGTGCCGCTCTTCGACACTGAGGTCAGCCTGGCGCGCGGCTCCATACCGCCTATCGTGCTATGCCAGGTGAGACCGGACGACCAACGCTCAAGCACGGATCCCATGAGCCGGGTTCGATTCTCGCATCGGGAACTGTTGCCACTGTCAGATGCACAAATTCACGCAGCAGTGTTCGCATCGATGTGTGGAAAACATGACCCTAATCGTCATCGTTGCGGCGTTGACGCGTTTCAGCACATTGCGAGACCTGCGGACTCATTTATAAAAGATCAACGAGTTAGGGCTGCCACTTACGTGACATGTCTTCCACTGATGTAGTTATCGTGGCAGAATCTAAGCAACTGATTCAGTGTTGACACGGACACTCTTCCGCTCATTGCGCCAGGTGCATAAGTACCGAATGTGGTTAAGCAAAACATGTGTAGTTTTCACTTGACTGGCAACCCTCTGCATTTCATTGTCAATCAAAGGTCGATTAAGGATTGGCCTACATAATATACTACCCCGTTTCGTCCGCTGCACACTAAAAAGGCCGGGCGCGTGACACGCAAGGCAGGTCTAAGTAAGGAAAGGAATAAAAGAGTACCACAGTACACCAGCGCGGCAGGCAACAATCTTATATGAACCCAAGCCTTCATCCTATGACAGCTGCTCTGAAGTCGTTCCAACGTGGTTGACCCTGTTTTCGTTTGTATTCAACTTCAAAGTCTAAGAATGAAGACTATTTGGAGTGGTTAACAACTCGAAATGGCCTGTGGCATACCCTTCTCGTTGAAAAACAGGGAGGCTTAGAAGAGCCTTCCGTACATTGCATGCAGGATGCCCTGGAGCTAAGCTGGGTTTACAACGGTGGACATCCAAATGACAAGTAAGCTTCCTTGAAAATTAAATGCCATTTTAAGCTAAACTTACTGGCTTAAAGTATGGTCACGGTGGAAGTCAATCGCCGCTTTCGCCCAAAGGGGCCGTGTTCGTTGGGCCGAACGGGATTAGCGATACGCAAACCCAAAGCTTTTTGAGGATGGGAATTGGAAGGCTTGGCTCTACAGATTTGACAAAGTTTCTCGATATCACTTGCCGATGCTGTAACTCTATGCAAAGCCGGTCACTGCGGTTTCAGAAAACTCATAGGCTTTAACATACCGCCAAACTTTTCGCACAAGATGGACACGTAATAGAATTACCAGCATGTACGTACTGTGGTGAAGTGATATATATGCACACAACAGCAAACCCGTGCGTGCCTTTTGGCCAGCCATCGCATACCGAGGCATTAGACCAATCTGGATGAGACTCCGTGTGAGCGCTGTGGAATCTGGTGATCCGAACTTCCCATGCGCTGTAAGTCTTGTGGTATTGCTAGCTTAGACAGCTATCCACATACCATGCAAAAAGAAGGTTTTCTTCATTCACGCCTTTCAAGTGCATACCGAACAATTATTTCCAGCTGAAAGAGCTGAAAGAGCTGATAAAGTGAGCGGGATCTTGATTCGATGGGTTTCCGATCTGGCCCTTGTTCGACATGTGGCCCGAGAAGAAGCAATTTTGATTAACAATCGTGAAAATGAATCTTTTTGTTCATGATGCCGTCTTTAAATGTTTTTATCGTCGCTTAGTACACAAGTGATTCATTTTTGTGATATAGAATTTAGGTAATACCGGTACAGCGCAATGAACCTTGATAGGACCAAGAAAGGCCCTGAGCTGCTGGTGCACTCGGCGTCCTTCATGACCGCCGCCAGATTCCCTTTGTCTGTTGCTAGTATGGCAATGGTGCTGTCGTTCATGAGTGGAGCGCATGCTTGGGTCTCCAACGTAATTCATCTCCTTGCACTCGGCCGCTTTACACGACCATGGCGCTACGATGTTGAATGACTTTTGATTGGTGGGAAGTTCATTCACTTGTTCAGTACAGTCTGTTCGTGTGATTTAAGCTGTACATCTCTCCAGTGCACCACCGCTTTGATGGAGTTTGGTGTCATTCTGGTGGCTCCATGGTTCCAATGTTTCACCGGTTCCAGAACGCGGTCTTCTTTGCTTTTTTACCTTACGGTGCTTGTGATGAGACTGAGGTCCATGCCGCACTTCTTGTTGGATTCTGTTCTTCAACCTAGGCGTGATGAAGTGTCTTGTTTCGTTGTTGCAAGGCTAGTTTTTGCTTTCATACCAATGCATGGCTTAGCCTTTCCCTTATAAGACTGGCCGTCTTCATTTTGATTGATGTTATTATCGCTTTTCACTCGTCGTCATTTGGAGGCGTGTTGGGTCTGCATCAGCGTCAGGTGGAGGCGTGTTGGGTCCATACCGGCGTCAGTTGGAAGCATGCTGGGCCTGGATCGGTGTCAGTCGCAGACGTTTTGGGTCCGCACCGGTGTCAGGTGGAACCGTGTTGCGTCCGGACCGGCGTCAGTTGGAATAGTGCTGGGTCCTCATTGGCCAGTTATAGTGCTCTGGAATGTTTAAGAGCAGGTTTTGGCACAGATGGGGTTGTGATTTGGACTACCTACGTAAGCAGTCCTCATGCGATCGAAGTGATAATTCCGCACGGAACGCGATATCTGTCCGTATCATCCCAAAGGTGGAAGCAGTCCAAATGGTAAGTTTGCCCTGGAAGCTTTCATTATCAGTGCTATCACAGCGCTAGTGCTCTACTGTCGGTTCAAGTATCATATTTATCACGTTAACCACAAACGCAACCTCATTGTGTAAATAGTGAATCTTTGTGGGTGTTTCCAATCATATCAAACGCAGGCTGTGGCGCTAAAAGCAACTTTGCACCTAATTCTAACCCAGTTGCGTTTAAAATAGTTGGGGTCTGGTCATTATGCTTGAAAAAATGTTGGTTGTATTCCAAATGATAGTGGAAAAAGGTTTCGCATGTTGCGTTTTCAGAACTATTACGTGGTAGAACGGTCTAACGGACGCACGCGGTATCGCCAGTATGCTAAGACCAGAACTTGCCTAAACGCTGTTTGCATTGGGCCCGAGATCAACAGCACTGCGTTCAATTCCCGTCATGGATAACTTTCACCATGCTGCTAAATGGAACTGGTGACGTTCATGACCGTAGCAGACTACCTGCATCGCTGAGTAGCTGAGACTGCTGAGACCAGCAGCGGCGCGGGTAACATCAGCGTCAGGCTGCTGAGTCAGCCGGGTCGCGGGTAACATCAGCGTCAGACTGCTGAGACCAGCAGCGGCGCGGGTAACATCAGCGTCAGGCTGCTGAGTCAGCCGGGTCGCGGGTAACATCAGCGTCAGGCTGCTGAGTCAGCCGGGTCGCGGGTAACATCAGCGTCAGACTGCTGAGGTCAGCTGCGGCGCGAGTAACATCAGCGCGCGGTGCGTCTGTTCGCAGTGTAACGGGCGAAGGGCGTACGCGCTGCTCGACACCTCCAACGTCTACTCCACCATCTCCCGCGGCCTAGTCAGCGCCTTCAACATGTCCAGGGACGTCATTCAGGACCGAACGACGCCGCCATCACCAATATCAGGTCAGGGCTGGCCAAAACGGGACGGCCTGGTCTTCTTGAAAACGAGCCCGCGTTTCTTAATCCGCAACTCCAGAGCAGTCTGTACGGATCCGTAACGTAAGCACAGTCCGTAATGATCCGTAACTGCGTCGCAGCCTGTAATGATTCGTAACCCCACCGCAGTCTGCCATGATCCGTAACCCGTGTGTGGTCGTGACAGCTGTACCAGTTGCATGGCGTGATAGGTGAAAGAGCATGCACTCACATGTAGAGCATGCTAGGTGTCTACATCGCAGTCCGCATCTATACAGCCTGTTCGGTCGATATGCTTTACAGGGATGGTATTAGTGCTCATGACCCTTAGGCCATGTTTACAGAGGTGCTCGGCTGGGACGGAAATGGTCTTATCGTGTTGTGCCTTGGCATGCATGGTGTCTTGGCCACATGCAATGCACCACATCGATTGGCGTAGTGGTGTACAGCCAGAGCCTTGGCAAAGGGTATGGCGACGGGAGGAGGGAGGGGGAGCAGCGGGTTGATAAAGGGCCTCCTGATAGTCAAAGGGCCTTACATGCCAAAAAACAACTATGGGGTATGGCCAACATGATTTCGAGGGGCCTGCTTTTTTGTCGTTATCTGTATTGTTAGGTTCATTAACTGGAAAACAAGCCAGAAGTCACTGGAAGGTACAATTCTGTGTGCATTTTGAGGTCAATAAACTGACGCGAGCGGGCGTTAAATGGATGTTTGAAATAACCTACCAGCGCCTGTCATGTTACAACGGTTCAGTAATCTCATTCTAAATCGATAGATCTCGGAATCTTCACCAAAATTTGCTTTTGGTTCCGCACAGACATTGAAAATACGTGAACGTAGATTGCAGATCAAAATGGGGGCACAAATTTGTATGAGCATAGCCAACCCTCTGGTAACATTTAAACTCATGTAAGAATCGAGTAATATGTACTGTAGATTTTGAAATGAGCGCTCACAGATCTTAAACCTCCGTGGCCTGACGTTGCAGTCTCCGTACGGCGCGCGGCGGTGATTACTTTCGGACAGTTAGGGCATCAGTTTCTACTTTTAGAAGTCAGTCGTGCCGTATGTTTCACCTGCGCGATTTTTGAATTGATAATGGGAGCGTGTAAGCATTTACAGCACGCGAACTGGTGCCGGAATATGGTGGTGAACTGCAAGGGTGAAGGTATTTCTCGCGTCATTCTGCCTGTTTATCGGTTCAGAGGATAACTTCAAAATTATAACGTTGATAAAGATGCCTCGTTACAGTCATTCTATGGCACGAATTGATTTTGGAAGATTTTCGGAAGCATTATTTCACGACGGGCGTGCTCGCGCGCTCGGCGAGCGCCGCCTGCCGTTATTTGCGGCGGCCGACGCCGTTTGGCCCTAAAGTAACTGCAACCTTGCCCACAGCTGTCCTCGCTCGTGAGATTGGGAGCAGGCAGGATCAAAACTTATCATGCACTTTGTCTCACAAGTCCACTCTGCAAAAGATGGACGTTATCAGGCTAACATAGGCTGACTTTTGTCATGTTAGACCTTATTTGCATCCACTCTGTTCAACATTATAAGGTCCCATACCTTTTTCGGGGCAAGGTTCCCGTTCCCGCCCAAGGGCTGAAGGGCCATTTCGCTCCAGCGCGGAATGCCTACTACCTGTCAATCTGGCGACCCGGAAGCGGGGCTCCTGGTCGATCCGAAGGCTCTTGGAGAGATACATCATACATTGGTCTCTTCCCTAGCGCAGAAAGCTCTCTGACCCGGGCAGTTGGGCCCAGATCGATGCTCGAAACCACGTTGTCGCAACAAGACCCCTACCACCGCAGGTGGTTTGATGATTAGCACAGAGACCCGGTTAAACTGAATTGTCCCTTGGCTGAAATACGGTGGAGGACTCTTGTTCTGTGCTGAGGGGGCCCAAACTGACACAGAGCCTTCCATTGTCCCATTGTAAACTCCCACCATAAGTTTTTATATCTCCTTTCCTTGTTGAGAAGCCTCTAACCGACGTCGAAAGTCACGCCCCTGCGGACGGAGGTTCTTGATCTGACGTCCCTTCGAGCGTTTCAGCCTTCCATTCGGACCAATGATCTTTGGTCCTGAGGGACCCTCCGAAACCCTCTTTCAGCACCATTCGGGCCCCCTCGAGCACAGCCCTTGGCCGACGCGGGCTGTATGTATGCCAACACCGGACCCCCTGTTAGGCACTGTGGACTCCTGGGCGACACAAGGACCCTCATTGCTTCAGTCCCCGACCAATGCAAATCGCGGGCCCCAGCCTTGTTCTTGCTTGGGAAATGACCCCCCCCCCCCTCCCCCTCCTTCACCCGCAGGGTTTAGATCAATATGGAGCCAGCTGTTTGGTGTTAGTGGTCTCTGGCCCAAATAGAATCCCGCATTGTCCATGCGGAGGCCATCCGGCGCAAGAGGCTCACTGACCGACATCTGAGGTCGCGACTGAAGGGTATGGGATCCTTAATGTAACCTACAGGCAGCCCCGCAGGATCCTTGCGCCCTTTGGGCCCTTCAGCATTCTAATGGGGAACCTCATCGTCTGTCCAGGGGACTGCGGGTCCCTCGTTGGGCCCACACAAACATTGCTCTCAGCCGATTCAGGGTCTCTTGTCCTCACGAGACCCCCGTTGGGCACTGTGGGGCTCAGGGGCCGACCAACGTAAATCGTGGACCCCGCTCTTGTCCCGGCTAGGGAAATGGGGCCTCAGGCCCAGACCGAAACGGATCCGACTGTTTAGTACTTGTGGTGTCTGACCGATATAGTGGTCCTCATCGACTCAGTTGCCCAGACTGGCGCAAAAGGTCGATCTGAATGGGGCTGGCTGGCTGGCACTTGCGACCTCCGGCCGCCCTTCGGGCTGTTCAGGGCCTTCAATCGGGCCTGAACAGACCAGTCCTCAGTCCCAGTCAGTCCCGAGGAGTCCGAGGTTACCTTGGCGAGGCGTAAGGATGGGCACGTGGTTCCCGTGTCCCTTGCGTGCGCCGCTGGACAAGCTTCAGAGTGCTGCGACGACAGGCCTCCTGGCCCCAGCAGCGGACTCTCAAGCAACTGTGTGTGTTGCATCCACTGTCTTCAATCAGTGATGCTTGTGTAGACACTTGAAGAGCCGGCAAAGGTCATTCGCATCATAATCGCACCTTGCCTTTTCAGGACTGGAGAGGCCTATCATTCATGGGAAGCTCAAATACATGGAGGTGTCATTGGGCAAAAGTCAGCTTAACATGCAGCTATTTGTAGGTAAGTTTCTGCTGGAATATGCGTGCGAAATTTATGGTTCAAGCTTGACAGTTTCGGCTCATTGTTAGGATGAAAACACTTATACTGGTGGGAGCTAGGACGTCAATACAAAAAAAAATGGGACTGGTCGCAAGTAACGCGCCAAGCTTGTCGGCATCAACAAGCAGCACCAAGGCAGCCCCTAAACGTTTGGGGCGGGGCGGAGTGGTATTGCTGTCACGAAATGCCTGGACATTCATCAAGAAGCACGTCAACTCAGCGGCACACAACATTGGACGGGCCATCAGTGAAACGAACGTTACCAGCGGGCCTCCGAAGGGCCTCAGGCACAAACTGACGCTCAGTGTCAGCCCACATGTGGCCATAGGAAGTCATCATTCAACACAACAATGGGGGATACTTATAGCGTATTGCACGTGCTGCGCAGTTCCAAAACTTTGAGCGACAAAGAGAACTCCGGTTGTGTAGGACGCTGTTCTATCGTAATTCTAACAGTGGGACGTGTATACTGAAAACCGCGCTCCAAAGCCTTTCTGCGTTATATTCTCGATCGGATAATTCTCTCGATTTCTGCTATTTTTTAAAAATTTTAACTTGCTGATCTCCACAGTGTGTTGAACGCGTGTGGCCGCCGACTAAACACCCATCACCATCCAAATGTACTAACAATTTCGTGCGCGACAGCAGCGCCAGACCTATCCCTGCTCTGGCCTCGCGCACAGCCGCAGCCTCAGAACCGACCCACGTCTGCCTCTCTGCCCCTCCCCTTCCAACTTCCAGTTCCGGCCACGACGCCCGCAGACCATCGTGCGCCGCCGCCTGACTCCCAGCCGCAGTTTCAGACACGACGCCAGAGCTGGTGCTCGGCGTTGACTTTCTGAAGAAGACCCAGACGGTCATCAACTTCTCCGAGTCGTGCGCGCTGGTGGGTGGCGAGAAGGTGCGCTTCGTCAGCGGCCAGGAGTTGGGCGGCCTGACGAAAGGGCGGCCGCTCTAACGCGCCGCCCATGTGATACGCTCATCAAAGTTTTATAATGAACGCGGCCGGCCGTCCGCCGCCGGCCACCGCTGCGGCTGGGTGGGGAGCCGGCAGCACGCGAGGGACGCAGCGTCGTGAGCCGCGCGATCGCGTGCACGCGGGTGACGTGGTGACGACCGTCCGATGAGTTTAACAGAACTGGTGTCTGTTTTCAACAATACAAGTTGCACAGACAACGCGTTTAAAGTTGACGAGCACCGGATGCAAGAACTTGCTGAGCTGCAGAACGCCGTGTGAGCTGCACCTGACCTGTACAGAAGACATGCTTCTCCCAGTTGGCGTCTGCCCATGATGAGCCAACAAACAGCTGATGTGTGTGTGTCGAGTGTTTCTCACATCATAATCTTGACAGTATACAAGTACCCTAGTTCTGTGTCCTTTTTTTGGTGTGGTGTCATGCTTTTATTATGAACCGTCCATACTCATGAGCTAATGTTTGATTCGAGTCAATGGGTTATAAGTAACATGATAAAAAAGCAGATTCAGCAAAGATGAAAACACGTCAAGAGCTTGAGACAGACCCAGGAAGTTAAACAAAATTCAGTTTTTCATATTGGTATAGTTCAGATGTGAGCGCAGCACAGCTCCGGGAGGTCATAACGGCAGACGGCAGGCGCTTCCAGGACGAGATGGTACGATACGAAAACGCTCTACACGATACAGACAGCCGGAGAGCGGGTAGCTGGAGTGCGCCGACCGTCGCCGACTTCGTAGTGCGCTCACTTACAGCGGTCCGAGGGGCGAGGTCCGCCATCGGGGCGCGGCGATCATTTATGACCCTGAACATGCCCTGGTCGCGGTGCGGAATAAGCTCACACATGCCGTGCCGCCCCAGTGACCTTACGATCCGTGAAATATGACCTCAGTCCCGCGTCCCCTGAGAGATTCTGGTCGCGAAGTTTATAACTTTTTGTACCCGGACAAAACAGCAGGCGGCAGCCCCGTCCCAGACTGAGCGGCAGTACAGGATTTGGGGGAAAACGCGGGCCTGGATAAGGAGTGTGCGGGCTTCGGGTGTGGGATGATAACGAATTGTATGTAGACAAAACAGGGTAGAGTTGCGCTTCCCCTAATTTGGGATTTTAATTAATGTATTTATTTATATTAATCAATTTTAATTAGTTAATTTAAGATTTACACTGTCCTCCCAGGACAGTGTACGGTCGATGGTCATTCCCAGCATCTTCACGGACGGCGAGGGGGGTTGATATGTTGGAGATTTAGGATGAAAGAATGAGGTTTTTATGGCCTAGTGCGTGCCGGTGAAAAGCAGAGTGGTTTTAGTAGGGTTCAGCTTCAGGGCATTGGCAGTGAAGTAGGATTGAGGGATAAGGATGGCTTCCTCCTGTCGGAATTTTAAGGTGCGCAAGGGGTCGGTGTGGGCGGAGTCGAGGAGCTGGGTATCGTTGACGCCACCAGACCAGACGCCCGCCAGGCAGATGGGATGGAAGGTCGTTCGTGACGATGCTGAAGAGGATTGGGTCATCAGGGAACCCTGAGAGACATCACGGGAAAAGGGGAGGGATAGTGAGCCACCTCTCACCACTTGCCGCCGTCCATCAAGGTAACTTTGAAACAATCGCGGATGGACGCCGTGCCACTGCAGCTTGGTCAGTAGGACGCCGTGGTCAACGCTGTCGAAGGCTCGACCTAGGCCTGTGAATGTGACGGCGATGACGTGTCCGGAGTCGATCCGACGCATCATCCACTCCACAGCGTCGACCACGTCATCGTCCGTTGAGTGGCACGGAGTATACGCATATTGTGAAGGGGCAAAGAGACCCTGGACGTCGAGATGAGTTGACATCTGCCGACAGACAACCCTTTCGCAGATTTTTCGACAGCACAGCACAGAAAAAGGATAGACCTTGAAATTGTTAGCAGCCTCACCTGCACCGAACTTGTGAAGGGAATGAACTGAAACTATCTTTCATGCACAGGGGATAGCTTCAGTTCTAAACGCGCCCTAAAACCCCAATCATCATCATCATCTTGTACAGGGAAAAACACAAGTGCCGATTGAAGTGCTGACTAGATGCCAAGCAAGTGAGGTTCTATGACAGCCAAACAATTCTTAGCACAAGCAGCGGCCCATTATCAATTACAACAGTTCTAGATGACGAAAATCTCTGATAGCCTTCGAAAGCTCGGCTAAGGTTACATGGTGCAAAACTAGCCTGACTGTGGTTACGCACGGTAGGCTCAGAGGGAAGGACGGGACGCCTGGGCTTCCCCCGCCAGCTTGGCCGCGATCTTTGGACCTGCTGAGACAAAGTGACTGCTAAAATCGTCGGCCATGGCCTCGGCCTCCGCAACGCCACCTTTCCCTAGCAGGTGGAAGCCCAAACACGGATAGTCCGCCAGAAACTAGCCCGGTCACATAACATTCTGGTGCCTAGAAAGTCACGCTTTGCCTGGGCGCAGCAACCCTTAACCAGATTTCGTGGACGCCGGTGTCAAGTGGCCGGTAAGTATAGTCGCGCTCCCGTATCACACACGGCAGGTCGGGATTGTCCTCAAGCCGGGGCAGCGTGCACGGCGGGATGTCACTGCTTTCAAAGGAAAAAGCAGATCAATGGCATCTGGCCAGACGCACATCAGCTCACCCAGCTTCCCCGCAACACCCACGGTCCGGTGAAACGGGTCTCAGTCTGCCTGCAGCAAATGTAGACTGAGCGCGTCCCAGCAGACTTTGCGCCAGGGGCGAATACGAAAAGAAACAGGACGCAAATGCCGCCGCCTGAACAGGACACCAACGATGGTGGTGAGATAGTAAGTCTGCAATGTAGTGAGATAGTCTGCAATGGTAGTGAGATAGTCTGCAATGGTAGTGAGATTGTCTGCAATGGTAGTGAGATAGTCTGCAATGGTAGTGAGATAGTCTGCAATGGTAGTGAGATAGTCTGCAATGGTAGTGAGATAGTCTGCAATGGTAGTGAGATAGTCTGCAATGGTAGTGAGATAGTCTGCAAGGGTATGAGATAGTCTGCAATGGTAGTGAGATAGTCTGCAATGGTAGTGAGACAGTCTGGCAATGGTAGTGAGATAGTCTGCAATGGTAGTGAGATAGTCTGCAATGGTAGTGAGCTAGTCTGCATGGTAGTGAGATAGTCTGCAATGGTAGTGAGATAGTCTGCAATGGTAGTGGATAGTCTGCAATGATAGTGAGAAAGTCTGCAATGGTAGTGAGATAGTCTGCAATGGTAGTGAAGATAGTCTGCAATGGTAGTGAGATAGTCTGCAATGGTAGTGAGATAGTCTGCAATGGAGTGAGATAGTCTGCAATGGTAGTGAGATAGTCTGCAATGGTAGTGGAGATAGTCTGCAATGGTAGTGAGATAGTCTGCAATGGTAGTGAGATATCTGCAATGGTAGTGAGATAGTCTGCAATGGTAGTGAGATAGTCTGCAATGGTAGTGAGATAGTCTGCAATGGTAGGAGATAGTCTGCAATGGTAGTGAGATAGTCTGCAATGGTTGAGATAGTCTGCAATGGTTGAGATAGTCTGCAATGGTAGTGAGATAGTCTGCAATGGTAGTGAGACAGTCTGCAATGGTAGTGAGATAGTCTGCAATGGTAGTGAGATAGTCTGCAATGGTAGTGAGATAGTCCTGCAATGGTAGTGAGATAGTCTGCAATGGTAGTGAGATAGTCTGCAATGGTAGTGAGATAGTCTGCAATGGTAGTGAGATAGTCTGCAATCGACACCGCCGGGACCACAACGGTGCCCTCCAGACTCGGCATGTTGGTAATTAAGTAGTCCAGAGGAGTCGCGGTCGGCTTAATGTGGGTCGGTGTATCAATAAACTGCACAATACTGAGACCGTTTAAAATTGACACGTAGTGACGCGCAGTTGGGTTGTCGGGACGTATTAAGTCAGAGCTATAATGGCCAAGATAAAAAGCACGCCTCCCGATGGCAACAGCCGCTCTTGGTTGATCATGTAGATCGTCAATGCCGCCTGATGTCGACTGAGACGGAGGACGATACACAACGCCCACGGCGGTCAGGAGCTGCCCATCGCCACTCAGCGACACCCACAACGACCCTCATGCTGCACTGGCGCTGGAGACCGGTAACACGCTGCAGTTCAAGTGTTCCCGGCACAGGGTTACGACACCACCAGCGCGGCTCGCGGCCGCGGGGCGACCCCGGCAGCGCCGGGCCGACCGGTCCTTGCTCGCCAGCCTGTAGCTCGGAAACACTGAGATCCTGTCCGCGTCTGGGTCAGTCAGCCACGTCTCGGTAATGCACGTGACGTCCAGGTCATGGTCGCGCACGGTCCGAAGAGCGGTCCACTCTTGGGACAAACGGCCGGACGTTTGCGTGGACGACCGTCAGCGTGTCGGCTGGCCTGGCAGAACTGGTGCGGGAGGTGCGTGCTGACTGCAGGCTCTGACCGATGATCAGGCGGGCCGGCACCGAGAGGGTCCGGGGCCGAGGTGTGACACAGCGCGGCGGCACCCGGGAAGCCAGTGATGTTCACGGGCGGCGGGTCACCGGCGACAGCCGATGTCCCTCTCCGTGCGCGAGCGCCGCAGCTGTTGCCGTCGTCCGGCTCGTCGCGAGGACATCAGTTGTGTATCTTCCTCAGGACACAATGGTGCAAAGGTAAAATGAAATAAAAGTGCATGCAGTAGACACCGGTAGACTAGGAAATGGTCCCAGCTAACACAAATAAACACGACTTTTTCGCACGCAAATTGGATATCTTGAAAAATACAAACTTCCGTGGCGAGATTCATTTTATTCTCCGCATGAAGAAGGCCATCTTATAAGTTGCAGACCATATGCAGACCCAGTGATATTGAATGGCGGCCTATTTAGGTAAATACATTGTTTCTTTAGTATAAAACTGATAAAGCTATCATAAGATCGTGAGATCGAAAGACTTTCTGCAGCGCCCTTACGCGGTAAAATCAATGTTAAGGTGAGTGCCAAACGTACATGCCATACATATACACACACGCATAGGTTGTAGGAAAATCATGCCTGGGCATTGGGCGATAATTCGCCTCAGTCAGCTGAGATGAAGGCTCTAATCAATTTGCTCTCCAGTCAGATGAAACTTGTTTCCTTCCCCTCGAC